CGCGGTTTCCGCGGCGTCGGTTCACGCACGGTGCTCACGTCGCGGGTCACGCAACGACAATAATATTATAATAATTAATTGTAATTTTACATAATAATAAATTTAGGGCGGACGGTATTGAAAATAATTTTCGGTATTACGGTATTGATTTCAATACCGGTTTGAAACGGTATACCGAAAAACCGAAATGTTTCGATATATCGATATGGTATACCGAAATAATAAATAAAATCTAACTAGTATCGATATTTCTTACTTTTATTGTTTCACATTATATACTTTATTATATACTATAATAATTAATAGTATAATATATAATATTATAATCAGGGCTCGGAACTTATTTTTATAGATTGACTTAAAATGTAGCAGACTAGCAGAGTGCTATAGAAGTGTATGTCATGTTACAACACATTCAGTTATGAAATTTGAGAGTGCCTTTTTTTTGCTTTTTTCAGTGATTTTTCAAAAAAATGCTTATTTTAAGTTTTTCTGATAATTATTGCTTTTTTGACCAGTTTTTATGCTTTTTTATGATTTTCTACTGCAAAGTTGTTTTTGATAGAATTAAAATTAAAAATAATTCTTATCTTATCTACGTTGTCGCGTAGTCCGTCGCCGTCCGCGGCATCGTTGCAAATATTCCTATATTATAATCCCTCAGAAAACATTTGATCATTCAATGCATTAATGACGGTAAGATTTAATTAATTTTTTTTTCAACTATTTGTAAATATTGTTTACATTTTATTTTTCAGAAAATCCATAAAATCCTCAGTCCTGAAAATGAAATTTTATTTTTTTTATAATATAAAGATAAAGTTTTAATTTTAATTTTATTGTTTTTTTTTTTAATAAATATTTTTGCTTAAATTTAAGTTTTTTAAATGCTTATTTGAGTGCTTATAATGATGTTTTTAAGTGTTTATTTAAGCGCTTATTTTAATGATTTTAAGTGCTTTAAGTCCCGAGCCCTGATTATAATCTATAATATTTCCATTGATACTAGAAAACAGCACTAAGACTCGCACTAATAATTATTTTATACTTAAAACTAAGTTTATTTATGTAAATCCTAGTACTTTGCTTAAAGTTTTTGAAAAATATAAATAGGTAACTAGTAATTCTAGTGGATATTTTTAAACTGTCCTTACTTATCGGCTATCAACATCTATTACCTATACAACAACATGATTACATGAATAGGTATTTCATATCCTTATTCTTCTACACTGCTACAGTATAGGTTTAAACTTTAAAAGTAATCAATTTGAAGCTAATTAACTCACCTAAATGGTAAGCAGGCAATCAAGTTGTTTACCGTTTACAGTATACTGTTTAGACGGTTTTTTACGGTATCCCGTTCATTAGGTTTTTACGGTATACCGTTTACCAAAATAATTTTAAAACACCTGCCAAGTGCGAGTCGGACTCGCGCACGAAGATATCAGTACCATCATCAGCTGCTATCAACATGTTGACAACACTGCTTGTATTGTATATTCTAGGATTTTTAATATTTGTTGTTATATCGGCAACAGAAATACATAATCTGTGAAAATTTCAACTTTCTAACTTTCATGGTTCATGAGATACAGCCTGGTGATAGACGGACGGACGGAACCCTATAAACCAGGGGTGGTCAAACTTGTTTTGATTGAGATCTACTGAGGGTATATTTTTTCTTTTAGGATCGACTAATGTAAAAAAATTATTTAATATTAATAATAAACATACTTATATAAATAATAAAATTAAAGTGTTAAGTTATCTAAAATGAGTGTTTCGTATTAAATTTTTAAGTAATTTTAAAATTGTTTTTTATTGTTGATGTAGAAGCGTGTCATTGCACATCATGAGTCATGACCAAGCGAAGACGCTGTGCTAAAGTCTAAAACTAACCTACTCAAACTCTATAAATTATAACTTTCATGTGAGAAAATGCCATTTCACACTAACTACAGGTTAATCCGAAACATATGTATTCAATAAGTGTATGTACTAAATTGCAAATATATAAGAATAATTAATAAATCCTAACAATGAGGATCGACTTAGAAATCGTCCAAGATCGACCAGTCGATCGCGATCGACTGTTTGGCCACCCCTGCATTATAAACGATATAGTTGTTTCATATATAATTAACAACTCCCGAAAAATTATATTATTTTCCCAAAATTTATATAGACGTCAAAAGTTTCTGTTGGGGTTGAAAAACCTTGCTGATGGGATAATAATAACTGTATGTCCACCAATACACTTCCTACTTTGAGTCTAATACCAATAATTGCTGAAAATTATTACGGAAAAAAAATGGTCTATATTAGTTATTACCAATATATTATATAAACTTAAAAATTTAGTAATACTGTACTGGTAAATAAAACAAGAAGAAAAGTTTAATTATTAGTAATAAATTTAAAAAATAAATATAATTAATATTTTACACTTGGAACAAACAATACTATTTTAGATAATTCATTATTTTTTGAAGTGAACGTTAAAAATTAAAAAATATATAACAATTAATTTTTTTAAATAAAATTAAACAATATTTCTAAAAACGATGTAGGTCAATAATTACATACTGGCTACTGATATTTATTATAAACACAATAGGAACTTACAAACTTAAATGTGCTGGTAAATTGATTCATAAAATATGAATACAAGTAAAATTATATGAATATAGATACAGATGTGCATGTTAAATTTTTCGTCTACAGATGTTGCAGTTGTATGAAAGCTTTAACGGAAAATAACAATTAAAAAACATATTTAAAAAAGTTCAGGTAGATAAGTATATTGTTATATTTTTTGTGCATCCATTACGGTTTTTAAGATTTGCTAGATAGGTAATTTTATTAATAAAACAGTAAAATGTATAAAAATTACATACATTTTGAATACATCATTTTAATAGCATGGAATGTTATTCTATTAAAATAGGACTTGAAATTTAAAACTTAAAACAATTAAAATCTATAATTGAAACTTCATAAAAATCTACTCATTATTTTTTGTAAGAAATTTAAGTTTAATTTAAATTATAATTTATAATATAAGGTTGGTATTTTGCTACAGTTCATTTCACGTTTTAAGGCGATATATTTTAAAATTTGCAATTTTTGTTTCAAACGTGTACACGAAAGTCGATTGCAATTTCAATCAATATCCTACAACCATAATTAGTATCTGCAGTGAACATTTTTTTTCTGACCATAATATGTAATAAATATGTTACGTCATACCTACTTTGGACTTAATGGTCTGATATGTCATTGTATTAAAATAGAAAAATGATTGATATAAAAATAAACTTATTGCAATTATACACAGATCGTTTTATATTATTATGTAAGCATTTGAAACATAATCTCTATCGGTTACGATAAGTCAGTGTATTTTTTACATTTCAATTCCGTCATAATAGAGATGCGCCACTGTAGTTTGCGTCGAGGTGATCGAAGCCATAAATCAATTGGAAAAAAAGTAAAATACCATTATTAAAGACTTAGGTACGGACAAAACTACTAACTAGACGACAATATTAAGTTTTATAACGGTTCTATCTCATACTTTTTACTGTAGTGCCTATATTATTTCAATGTTATTACACAATACATACGTATACAGTATAGGTACACATTTGTAAGTAGGATTTTAAAATTTCATGAAATTTATTTTCTTGAAATATTTGACTTCCATGAAAAATTAAATTAAAATGTTTATTATATTATCTAAAAGTTTATAGTCGTCAACTTGCAAGTGAACATTTTTAAAAGTTGCTTTATTGTATGAAACAATGAAAATATGTAATATAATATTTACATAATATGATTTATAAGTTGTTTAACAAATCTATAATATGACAAATTTAACCATTGCCTAGGAACTCTTAAGTTACAAACTCATAAACCAACTCAACGTCATAACATATTGTTGAGAGCCATGGCTCTGCAAATGCATATCTACTATATTATACTATATTATAATTATATTATATGATATTCACAATGTGCAGACATAAACCACTCTTAATAGTTGTGAGTCGTGATCTTTTACATTTAAAATGTACAAAATATGATCTAAGTATTAAATATGGAGTCCAGGGCATCTTCACATCACTCAACCACATACACACACAGTGGAGTGATTTCAGTTTTTATTAGACTAGGGCAAATTTTCACTGCTAATAATCTGAATCAACATTTTTTCACTCAGATTCTCATAGCGATAGCATAGTGCCACATCAGTTAAGGGTGGTGTTGGTGGGGAGGGGGGGAGGGAAATGTGCCGACTTAAGGTTGATGTAAATACTAGACTGGGGCAAATGCCCTAGTTGCCACTTCCCAAATGACGCCACTGTACACACATATAAATATATAATATATGACTTTTGTACACTTTATAATTACTGAAAATACATCACTACTATTTCATTCACTGTTGAAATCGACTTTAACTTTATTTCAAACCACTATCTTTTGGATAGTTGATGGTCCGTTTACAACTGCAATATAATATTAAAACTCATATAACAAATTTACTGTCAAATTAATGCCAGGAATATTTTTCATAACTATACATATTGAATATATACAAATATGAAATAATAAATCAACAAAATTAATATGTGTTTCCTTATTTCTAAGTGTGTAATCAATTTATATTATTTCTAATCATCGATAACCAAACACGATTAAAAGAAGAAAAAATATTTTTAAAATTTCATTGAAACATTTCAAGAAGAGTGAAATTTTCAATTTCGGAATATTTCAAATTCAGAACCCTATTCGTAGGTTATATATCAAGTATAATATTTTGAGCTGCAGAATCGTCTCCGTATGATTCCGATTGGCGAACAATAATATTGTTATCATTCGCACGGTAATTAAATATGATTTATCGTAGAGACAAAAATAATGCCATAGTACGCGTGTATTATATAGGTACCTAAATTCGGAATGAGCACGACGCGTGTGTCGTTGGGCATAATATGATGTTAAATAATGGATGTTGTAAATGGCCGCCGTTAAAATGTCAAGGAAAAATGTATGGATACCTGCAGAGTGCACATATAATACGGTTACCAGGGCGGAGAACCAGCGCTGCCACGGAATATACTGAGGAGAAATTCGAGTTATTTAATGTTTATTACCATTTGGAACCGAAAGAAAATGCCAAGTCTAGTGCTGGAACTAAATCAGTCGGACCAGTCGGTATCTATATGGAAGTGCGCAGTGGGCTTTAATTAATTGGCATGTTCGCTTAAGGCGTGGATGCCAATAATCGAAGACAATAATAATAATTATAATTATTGTTATAGCGTATAAAGAACTGGTTGATATATCGATTGTACTGGGCCAGCTGCACTCTCGGTCGTGTAAGCACAGTTGGCGAATGGAATAAAAACTATGAACTTTCCTAAATATATATATATCACTATATTGGCTGTACAGTTTTGCAGTTGTACACGACTGACAGCTGCCGTCAAACCTATATAATAATAATAATAATAATAATAATAATTTTTCTTTTCATTACACCCTGTATAATATGCCACTTTTGCTTTATCGTACACGGTCTGCGTACACCGATCGAATTGCAATATAATTGCCACTGACGGTCGAATCCACAGCTTCACAGATTCGCAGATTACTTACTTTGACGAGAAGAATACAATATCATAGTCGTGGAATTGTGTGGTACCTACCTTCAAGCATTTGCTGCAATTACAAAATATAATATTACAAAAATTAATTAATGTCATATATGGATGAGACAAAATAGCAAGTCGTAGGTGCCTATACTCGTAAATATATTGTATACTATTATAATAATATTAGGTATGACGATAGAAAAGCAATGAGCCAGATGAAAATTAATTTTTATCAGAAAATGCGAAATTCTCTAAAAATGTTTTACATGCCATTTCACACATACCCCGTAACGTTTGTAGTGATCATCATTATTATTATTAAAATTAGGCAGCTTTATTTTTTATAATCAAACTACATAATATTATGAATATTGAGAAAAGAAGTATACCTACTTTGTTTTTTTTTTTTTAATATATTAAATGTTCTTTACTTCTTATCATCAATTGGAATTATTTGTATCACCGTTGGTATGTAAAATCTTTATTTTTACTGCTGTGAACATTCATTTAACAAAGTTTTATAAATATACATTGTTTTTAATATTTCCACAAAAATCACAGTTTTCATTTGTCATGGTAAAATAATGATACACGATATACCTACTTTTATATTCAGCATATTTTTACACACATAAACGATATAATATTCGATTTGATATTATTATAGGTTAGGCTATTTGGTGTAGAAATAACATTTAAGTTTACTTATTGTTTCAAAATAGCTCCATTTAATTTTGATTATATCGAATAATATTATGGTTTATATAGTGATGTGAAATCATTCACTGTTGCCATTTCTTAAGCGGATTGTAATTACTATAAATATTTAGTATACAATATTAAATTGAAAAAATGCGTTCAAAGACAAATGAACGGAATTTCGAATATCTTAGGTATTATAGCGTAGGTACTGTAAATTGTTTAATCAGCACTACTGATATTATAATATTGTACATGCATAAATGTGGTTCGCCGTACCAAAAAAAATGTATGTCAAAATAATTTAAATATTACAGCATTAATTTCTGTAAAAATATAATATACAAAAAACAATATACAAATAGAGTTTGATAAATTATGAGGATAAAAAAAACTTTATTTGATGGATAGATCCGTTATCTATACAAAAAAAAAACAATAATAATAATAATATTACAAATACAATAACGCTAGTATATAAGTTGTATATACGCTAGTACATAAAAAAAAAAAAAAAAATAAGATTAAATTAAACCGTAAGAACTAAGAGGACGTCGTCTCGAAGGGTATGATTGATACGATATACACGTAAGTATATTAAATAATATCGATAGGTGTACACGTGATTTCGGAGGAATGTGTACGTATATATATATAGATAATATATATATATATATACAATTTAAAAATAAAATTTAAAATCGGTCTCGCCGACCGGAAGTCCGCCGCCGGGTCAGTCGATGATTTGCGCTACACGTTTGTCGTCTTCGGCCATGTCCTCGTCGCCCCATCCCCAGACACCACCCTCCACGTGGTGGTGATTGTGGTGCTGGTGGTGGTGCCTTTTGGTGCCGTCGCCCGTCCTCCGTGACCGCTTCTCCACCAGACTGGCGTTGGCCGTCTTCAGGTTGTACGCCAGACCGAGCCGGGCGCAGCCGTCGATGAACGCAGTGCTGAAGTTTAGCCGGTAATTTCCCAGCTCGGCCGCCTTGTAGTCCCACGGGAAAGCGTGATGGTAGTTGTGCCACCCCTCGCCGAACGCCAACAGCGCCACGGTAGGGTTCTCGGTGGGTGTGATGTTCCTGTGGACAGATGACAGATGCGGCTGTGAGCATAACGTGGGTATAATAATATGATGAATACCGCATACGCGGTATTCTTTGTCGTGTGGTCGTAAGTAAAAAACGACTAGTTTTCAGGAAGATTAAATAAGAAACATATTGGGAAACCATTCGTCGACAATAATGTCTGGGCTGATAATATTAATTTAATTCAATGTACCAACTTTTATATGTTAACTATTATAAGTAGAACTTTAAAATCGATTCTTCATTATTTTAATAAGTGACTTATTAAGATGATTGCATTTTTGCTTTATACGACTTACGCTATCGGGGCATACATTTAAAATTATTATACTAAACTTGACTTAATATATTAAGACCATTTTAAAATTATTTATGTCAGATTCTCAATATCTTAACTAGACAAACGTGGTTTGTACCCAATATATAATGTGACTTAAAATGTTTAGACCAAAACAAATTTCACTGTTTGAGTCAGTTACTCAGTTATAGTTTTGATTTACGTGATCTGTACCAACAAAATATAAAAATGTTTGATTCTAATAACACTATATATTACAAAATTGTAAATTTTTGACCTAAGTCATTTCTACCATACCTACTCCAACCATAATAATATTGTAATAATAACCACCCGGTAGGTACCCACTGCCCACACCGTTCTGCAAATTCAGCAGTGATGGCTGACTAATAAACCGACGGTTTGCATACGTAATAATATACCACCCTGCCATCCCGATTTCACCTAGTTCCCAGGATCACGCCAGACCAACCTTCGGTATAATCCATATTTTTTTATATACCGATATACCGCAGTATCACACATTATCTCCACTTTAGACCCACTCGTAGACGTAGTGCTCAGCGTTTACTGTGTTACATCACGTATTATGTGACCACGGGTTTCGAATATTTATACCACAAACGAGATCACAGGTTTCTGATAAGAAGTCAAGTTATAAATAGTATTACCATAATCTCTTTTTAAGATCATCACCTATATATAACAGTATACATAATATATATCTATGGTTAAGATGTGATGTATATATCTACGATTCTGCAACGCCTCAAGGATTTAATGTTTTTTTTTTAATATAATATATTTATTTTTTAAAAATATACAATCTATATAGGTATATATTGTATACATTTTATGTAATAAACTTAATATGTGGTAATTTAACTCGTAGATGAATCTGGATTCGGATAAGAAGACTACCTATATAGTATATTATTATAAAAAATCCGTTCGTTCAAAATTAAAACAAAATATTTTGATTTGAAATTGTTAAGAATTTATATAACACCTAATATGTATAAATATTTGAATTATTATTTGTTATTGTATTATTACAAGATTTTTGTTATTACTTTCTTTTATTATTACAATTTGGCCAATAATTATTTAGGTTACATATTTTATTAGAACACATAGATAGTTTCCTCCAGATACTTTACGTTCAAGTTTCAATGGTACGTCTTAGTATTGTGTAGGAATTAGGAGGTGATTATCAGAGTACAATAGGAAAAAGAGTAAAAAAAAGTCTATTGAAACTGCATTATCTTCATTTATCTATCTATCTTTATAAATATTATAATTTATATATACATAGATTAAGCTACTATTGTAGATAGGTATATGTATAACATTGTAATATTATTATGTTTGAAACAGTTTCTCGAAACTCTGTATACCTACGCCCTACTCGTTGTAGTAAACGATTAAAACCGTAAAATTCACTTATTGGAGTATTAGTACAAATATATTATATACTAAATAATATAATATTATAATACATTAATTTATAATTTATATTGCCGTTTGATCGTGTCACAAGTCACATCGACACAACGCTGCAGTACCGCAGGCTGTGTATTCTCTCTGATAATCGTTAGGAGTATACGTTGTTGGTAGGTACATAATATATACCAGATACCTATATATATATATATATATGATTCGGTTCTTCGCCGAGGGGATTATACACCGATATTCATATTATTGAAAATTAGTCTAATTGTTTTAGGACATCCCGCGAGGACGTACAAAATGAAAGCGGTCCGGTATAATAAACGTGCATGTGTCACTGACTCACCGCTTTAAACGATTAGTGAATATTGTACTGGACTGTATATAGATATCTAATAATAGAATTCCATTGCCTAGAGCAACCAATGAACACGATGATCCCTAGTGAATCACCGTACTAATCGTACGCACGTAGAGCTCTCCGGGTTTCGACAACTAAACTTCGGGAATAAAACCCGTGCATCGATGAGCGAAATTGACATCAAATTCGCATATTGTTTTATCGATATTTTAATGTTCTGGTGACTATATTATAATTATATTTTGCCATTCGTTAAAATTGTATGTCAAAACGGTCAACACCAATATAGTTTAACAAAGTTTTGAACGTGTTGTTAGACCACAATATTATTACGAATTTTTAAGAACGTAAAGAATGTATACAATTTTGTAGAATTGTTTTTGGAAAATATATATTAGTTTTGGTTATTTTAAAAATATGTAGATATGCAGGTACTTAACGAAGTAAATCCTCAAGGACGCCAGTGCAGTAAGAGAAGCAAAAACAATACTTATGAATAAGTATGCAATTATCTAACAACATTATATACAGTACCTAAACGTTGAGTTAAAATGGGTCATACGTTATCAAATTGACATTAATTGAATTAATTAAATGCATTGAGCGATTTAAAGGATTACATATCATAATATATTATCTGTTGATTAATTGATGACGAGCGATTGGTGAAAAAAAATATTTATGTTGTAATCGAAAAAACGAATTAGGGCCATAGTTTGGTATAATGCATGGAACCGTATATGGATGTGGTTTGAGGCGTTAAAATGACCTTACTAGTGTCACCAGATTTGAAAAAGTATGCTATATTAACAGAAAAATTTGTTCTCTAAATATTTTATTCTGAACGCGGACGATTTAAAACGAGAATATTTCCGACGTTTCAGGACATTGTTTCAGGTGACTATATTATAAATTGTATAATTACACGCGCAGCAGATATTTTCCCCCACCTTGTGTTGCAAATAAAAACCCCCTACGATTTTAAATCTTCGACACACGTGTCCTGGGTCGAAAAAAATTGTTTTATAATCGTATAATATGTTCAAATTGAACGAACAATAATAATAATAATAATATGTAGAGCGTATTGAATGCGAAGTGGTGTTCGAGACCGTGAAAACGTTATAGTATTAACTACATTTCTCAATGTTAAGAACCAATCCAAATATTGTCGCAAACGATAAAACGTGTTAAACCACATTGAAGATTACGACAATCATAAATATTAAAGTATTAAGTCATCGGCTAGTGGGAGGAATCTACAAAAAAAAAAAAAAATGTATAAGCTTTCACTAACATGCATCATTATAAAATAAAGGAGAGAGATGTTCACCTTGTGGAACACCCGAGGTTGGTGTAGGTAATTATTATACATATTGATTCGGAGAGGGTTATTATTCTTTTCTATTCATGTTTTTTTTGGATCCATTACGTAAGACTGTGGCCAGGCCAAAAGTGGACCTTTTATGTCAAATATTTTAGCTATTAATATTTAATTGGTATCTGTGAGTTAATAACTATAGATAGTTATTAACTAAACTGCCTCATTAGTATATACAGCTGGTATTAGTTAATGTTTGAAAACGGCGTACGAACGGAATAATATTTTAAGTTTTAAATTTGCAAATAAAATACATAAAATATCTATGTATAAATTACTACCGATAATAACGGGGTTCTAATTATTGGTGTTAGAAGGGAGAAAATAGAACGGTTATATTAGTTTATCGTATTAGTTATATCATAATAATATTGTACTTACTTATCGTAGGGTTTTGTGCCCCATATATGAGCAGCGCTGTTGACCAGCCACGTGAAGTGTAACGATATCATGTAACGAGTGACTCCGACCACAACGAATGCATACCAAAAACGTTCCTGCCACAACCAGTATGGTATGAAAGATGGTATCAGGAACGTTACCAAAGGAACTAGCCATAAGTAATATCTGAAAAAACAAATGATAACAATATATTATTATAAAAACAATTATGATAATAATATTATATAACAAAAACAATAATTATGATAATATTATTATTATATTATAAAAAAACAATATTATGGTAATAGTATAATTGAGGCACATCGCCTTCTATGCCCACTCGGTGGGTATATTATTCCTAAACATAATAACTCGACTAGGTTGGATCGGAACGGACAACTTTGTTCTCGATTTTAAACAATTTCGTGTTAATCAATCATTTACACGATGTATAACAGGGTAAATTACAACATAATACATAGATTAGACTACGAGACTAATGAATATTGTATTTGATTTGGTCCGGTTCGGTGTGTGTAAAAACTATAGCAGATTCGAAAGGGAAATTTGATTAAAACACGACGTTTAATCTACTTAACTAGATAATATAATTGTATGCTAATACCGTAGGCTGTAGGCATTATTATGCAAACTGTATGATGTACTATTGAGTTTTTCAATGAAGTAGTAGAAAAAAGAAATTATATAATTAATCGCTCGTGATACATTCGATATGTTGTGAAAATCGTGACGTTTAGATGATATATATTTTATTCCAATCCATTTCATATGAGCATCAAATAATTTTATGATATTTAGAAGAAAAGGATAATATTGTTATGTTTCCGGGCACGACACTATTCCGAAATGTACGTCATTAATAATATTCCAGTGAATACAATAATAATATATTATTGTCTCGAAGATTCTACAGCTGAATCTGCTTCCATTATGATTTTGTTATATAAGATAAGTGACTAATAGAGTATGGTATCGTGCGAAATAATAATAAAATAATATAATTCACATATTTAAAAAAATAAAGTATTTAATTATTATTTATTGTGTTTAAAAGAATACGACGGTTCTAGATTCAATATTTCCAACCAAAAATATTATGCATTGACGTAAATAGGTATTATAATATACATAACTATTGACTATCTATAATATCAGCTTCACTCTTCACTGCTAACATAAATATATTATATTATACAACTGTACGGAAATAACTTTCTAAAACATTGGAGTATAATAGTATAACCTCTACATACTTAATACATCACCATTAGTTTATAAAATATGCATAAGGACATGATGTTTAATTACTATTGAACAAAATATTGTTGTTGGACAATTCGACTTATTAATTTAGAAAATAACTATTGACAAGCGAGATCTCTGATGTAAGACCACATAATCCACGACAAAGCGTATTAACATATAAAACTTTTTGGAGTGAAATTAAATATTTGTAAGGAATATAATACAATGTTCATATTTCTGCAACCACTAGATCCTATACTATATATATAAAACTAAACATTAATCATATCGGTTTAGTGTTTATAGGTATTAGGTAACTTAATTTGGGTTTTGGAATAATATATTGGTAGTTAGGGAGTTAGCATGATAGAGAATATTCGACTTGATAAAAACGACATGTATTATAAATTAATAATTCATAAATCATAATAATATGGAACACATTATACTTTTTTGATAATAATATATTAATGTGATGAAATATCTTATTATGGGTTTGTAGAACACTCAACACATAAAGTCTAATCGACTTCTATTAGTTAGAGAATCTATTATTTATACATTTCAAACAGAATTTAGAATAATTTACGTCATAATCAACACTTGCTAATAGTTTTATTGTCTTACCTCTCAGTCGTTAGCATTGTATATTTGTATTGACTTTTCTTAACATTTAAATTATTAGACCCATTTCATAGTCACGCTTATGGTACGCGGCATATACCTCTACGCGTGACTGTGAAACGGGCCACAGACGTTATCGATAAAAAAAAATACTTCTCAGTGCATTGTAATTAGTTATTTTAAAAAAGCTAACAATTAATATTTAGGTTAGAAAGCAACAATATTATACTTAAAATACTAGGTATATTCGAAGCTCTCGTAAGAATTATTGTAATCTCGTCATAAGTTTATTACGATTTTACTTATTTTTACCAATTTTCTAGCGGTTATTACATTATCCGCCGAATAAGTGAAATATTTTCAGATAATGTAGTGGTAGGTATAGGTACTAGGTACACGGCCGCCGGAATTACGATTCCACATAAACCTCATAATATTATAATGGGTTATTTACGGACGAAGGCCGAACGTAATATAACTATGGCGATAATAATATTATTAGTTAATGCGCTGTAATTGCTGTTGTGATTTACAACGATCACAATTATAATAGGCTCAACTTTAACGAAAATATGAGTCGGTAGCACAACAATGTACCTAAGTAATATAGCGGACTGGTGTAAATGAAATATGATAATTTCAAACTGAGATTATTGGAAACAAAAAAAAAATCAGGGAGTATAAAATATGGGTTAAACATATTACGCACAGGTGGTGGCCTCTGATTTTGGATCTGAGGGTGGTGTCATAATAGGCGCTCCTATAGTCAACCCACTATCACGTAACATAACATCGTATTATTTACAAGGTGCTATTAGTACTGCTGATAATATTATGGAGATGTCTACGACCTATTATACTCGCATAATATTAATATTATGCGTTTATTTAGCGCTTTTCACACTTACATTACCTAGTATATTAAATTGCACGGTGAACGGTGCGATTTCATTGGCGCGTTTTCGTTTAACACTTATAGTAATATGTGCGATTTAATGACGTGTTAATGCATAGTAATATATAATATGACGCGAACGTAGGCAGACTCTATGGCGGGTAACTGGGACGTTGTTGCGTAAGTAAAACGCACTGCATTAATGTTATAATATAATATATTATGACGTATTGATTGAATTCGCCTAGTCATTCGCAGTAAATCGGAACAAGAACGATTTGTGTGCGAATGTGTTGCGAAACCAAACAAAATCGTTACATATAATATCATTAGATATATTAACTTTTCGTCGGAAACGGTATGACACGCGTGTTAAACCGACGCGAATATCGTTCGAACCGAGCCAAAAGGTATTGCCAATAAATACCATAACTATAATATTATTCACATCGAGTACAAACCTAACCTAACCTAACCAGGGCTTGAAACCGATATTTGATACCGATTTTGAATACTGGTTACAACCGTTAAAACCCAAAATCGATACCGAAACCGAAAACAAAATCGGAAAAAATAACTACCGATAACCAAAACCAAAATCGAAATAGGAAAAATTATTTACGGTTTCAAGCCCTGGTACAAACACCGTTCAACGGACTTTTCCGGACGGTTTTGGACGGCCAATAGGAACCTAACCTATATTATAATAATATTATGTACGATGAAGTGTTTTGAAGGAACTCGTTCTATTTAAAATATTGGAACGAGGAACGGGAAAGAGTTCTTATTTTTAAGGAACTTGAACGAACATTTCCGTTCCTCAAATTATGAAAAATAAAAGTTATTTTTAATAATAATATTTTCTAGAATATATTTAGTGTTGGTATCACTTCGTCAGTCACTAGTAAATATTAAATTACCACAAGGTAGAATAAAAATTGATCCCAACATTTCCATTCTTATCACGAACAACCTATCGTTGGTATATATTTTCATATTTGGTAGATTTTACCAAATCATTTTTCATAAAATTCCTGTTTTTCCTCCAATTTCTGTTAGTTTTGAAAGTAAAATTTAGTTTTATTATAATGAATATAAAAATTAGCTGATTTTTTCTGATTTAAAATTTTTCCTCAAAAAATATCATGACAACAGCTGAGATCGTAAAAAAAATGTAAAGGAAAGGGAACAAGTTCTTTTTTTTAACAGGAACGAGGAACGGGAACGAGTTCCTTTTGTACAACAGGAAAGAGGAACAAGAATATAGTTTACCAAATATTTCATGTGACCTTTTCATAAAATAATGTTCAATAAAACGATTCAATTTGATAGGCATTTTACTGAGTACCAATTATCAATATTGTGGAATGACTTTTAATGATAACTCTTTAAGAATTTACAAAAACGATTTAATTTATTATTGATAAAATAGTATTTAATAAAGGTATCCAGACTCAAAAATAAAAATATTATACCAACGTTTTAAATTTTGGCCCATTTAACATTATTGGTGACCCGAAATTGGGTCGTGACCCTATGGATGAGAACCGCTGCTGTAAAGGAAAACACTTTCTATAGGAGCCAGGAGGTGTTTTCGACCGCGGACCGATGTAATATTATTATTATTTTAACAATTATTGGTGGGGTTGGGGGTGAAAAAAATCCCCCCCCTCGAGGAAATCGTGGTGCGGGTGTTTCGACGACAGTAATTTATTATTATTTTAATATTGGGCCTCGACAATAATATCGATAACGCACCTTGTTAAGCGTTCACTGCAGCGGAAACACAATGCCACTGTGAATAATTAACGCCAGAATAGACATAATAATATGTGATCTGATAGGTAGCATATTATATATAATATGCCCATACACCAGTAGTTTGCAATAACGGAAAGCGTTTGAGTTTATTAATATTGTACATTACAAACAGATCAGCTGATGATAAAAGCCGATTATTACGTTGCATTTATATAGTAAGGTTATATGGACAATATTTGTAAGCTTTTCTGCAGTCTAAAAAAAAAACCGATTAGAAAACCGTAATATCGGTTGTTTGGTGTCTTCAAACGTCGTCCGCGGAGAATACATTATAATTGATTTCAATGGACGGGAAGGGAAAAAACGATGCCAATATAAAATAATATACGGGAATATTATAAAATTTGTGAACGAAAATTACACAATACATCGATCATCCGTCGGGTTGAGGCAACCTAACCATATACCATTAGTTTACGCTGCTGCAGTTAGCCATAGGGGTTTTTTTAAATGTTATGAAACGATTGCGTCAGAGTACAGAGCGATTATTATTAACGTAAAACAATATAAGCCTGCGTCAAGCACAGCCTTCGACGTCATTTTGACCATACTGAAAAAAAAAATGTTGCTGTCATCGTATAATAATATATTAAACATTATTCTCGAAAAAAAAAATAGAAGTTTTTAATTTAGTTTGTCGATTGTTATAAATTAAAATAACGAATAGCGAGTTTTAACATCAAATCGTTTGTAATTCATATAGTAATTTACATAATTTTCCAAGTTTGAAATATTATGAGAAAAAAAACTGCTAACACAATATATACCTACAGGAAATACCGCTGAAAATATTTTAAATGTATGTAACGGTATTAAAATTGACAGTAGGTACATCATCGCGGTTGAAAATTCACACTTCTCTGCGCAGCTCCGCAAGTACAAACTTAAAATTAATTAAAATATAGTACTTGAGATATACTATATGAAAATAATATCGTTGGACTCACTTTTTCTGCCACATGACCACCGGGTCGGCTTCCAGGTCTTTCATCTCGACCGCGCCACCCTTGGAGGACACGTCCGGGTGTTTTCGGACCATTAGCCAGCCCATGTGCGAGAAGAAAAATCCCCGAGACGAGTTGTGTGGGTCGGCGTCCGTGTCGGTGAACTTGTGGTGGACCCTGTGGTCTCGGACCCATTCGTAAATGTGGTTTTGGAACGCCAATGTCTGGAACACGGCCAGCAGCACTCGCATTGGCAGACGGGCGCTGTAGCACCGGTGGGCCCACAGCCGGTGGGCGCCGACCGTTATGCCCAGAGCACTACACGCAGCCACCGCTAACACTGCAACGACATCACAACAATTAGCGAAATTATAATATTACTATAATAATAATAACAGTGTAACAATACTTTGATGGGGGAATGGAGTGGTTGAGTGGACATAACCGTGTTCGGTTCGAATCTCCGCCATGGGCGGCACTTCTCTCCGGACAGACATCTGTCTGGAGAGAGAGGCCGCTATCCCCCTACCGGGCATGTCAGAAACCTACGTGTGCCCAGTTTGAAACTCTGCCAAACTAAAACACACGTGTTTTCAAAAACCTACAGAACCCTCCCCTACAGTTAAAATGAACCCAATGGCCTAAGTTTCCACGGCTTAATTAATAATAATAATAGTAAAACAATACTGTGATATCCCTTTGATAGTACTCGTCGGCGCGGTTCAGCGATTTTAGTTCGAAACGTTAGATTTGATGTGTTTAGTCTATGGGAGTAAGAAATTTATTTCTGCTGAAAAGTATTTTTCCGGTGGTTTTTTTTAGTGAGGAACCTCTCCCGGTTTACGGTATACATGCATAAGGCTGCATCCGAATTCCGTGCCAAGAAAAAACCTTCCGATTTGCATGTCATCTCTTAAACACGAGTCTATCCGATGATGAGTACCCACAATATATTACGTTTTCACTTAAAAAAGTTGTATTTATTTCGTGCACCTAAGATAAAACATTATTTAAATAGACAATGTGAGCTGGTTTTAAAATGAAAAAATAAATATTAAAACACATTTTTTTAAGTTCACTAATTTATTAATCAATTATTAAAAAAAAATTATTTTTGACTTTAAAGTTGAAGTACAAATATAATATTTACCCTGTAATAATTACTAAATTTAATAAAACAATATTCATATTCCAATTTTGCAGACTTGGCCAGGAATTTAACATATTAGATTTTATCTCGAGGCGTGCACACAAAATAAAATATACATTATCATGAGTAAAAATGTAATGTATGTACCAGAAATCCTGCGATGCCCGTTTGCCGTTGTATGCAATCGGGACACTAATAATTGTAACTTATTGTTTGGCTTACGGATATATGCACCGATGTGCACGACAGTGTAATATTCGCTTGCACTATGCACCATCTACCCACCAAATTTCTGTATAACATTATATAGGTACCTATCCACTGCACCTCATAACATTTGTATTTATTGTTGCGGGTGTGTAATGTTATTATTGTACAGTATAATATACTCACTGAACAGTATGGTTTTTATTTGGACGTATCCGAAGAGCCCCAGGTAGAACCCATAAACGGCGAGCGAGTGCAATACGATGAAGCCGATCACATTGCGCCACACGATTTGCCATTTGTACCCTGTCTGTAGTTGTGGGTCAGTCTTGGGCTTGGACGGCCGGTGCACTATCTGTGTGGGTGGCGACGAGTGGGGTGCGTCCGACGTCAACTTTCTGTCACCGTACTCGACTTGCACTCCCGACCATATTTGAGCGAACGACGACGACGTGGCCATCGGGTCTGGATGGATCGGTCGCAGTACAATATAATAATATTATATAAGTGGTAGCTGAAAAACAAGACGGTTTTGAAGGTGAAAAAACGGCGGTGGCAGCAGGCACCGTGTGCATGTATATAATATAGGTTACTACTGGTTAGGTTAGGTTGGGTATTCTAATAATAATTCGAATACCTAACAATAATTATACCAAACGGTGTTTTATAATTTATAGTTGTCGTTCAAGCGTCTAATGTGACATCGTGTTTGATATACCTACGTGATATTATTCCCTAGGTATGTGATAGGATCACGCGCGAGAAGGAACACATCAATCACTGCACATAATATTATGTTGTTCACGTAGTATTGCACTGTATTTGAGTAATTATCTGCAGCTATATACCTTAGAGTGTCTATACCATTCGCGATTGCATTGATGTCGACATCTCACAACCGTACGTTTTCATTTAAATAACAAAATTTAAGTTTAAGTTTTTTCCGGTGAATAGTACGATCGTTTAAACTACATTAAAGGTCATAAGGGTGAAGGGTCAACAGTCGATTAACAGTATTTTAAGTTAGTCTCAATTAAATTTAGAACAGGACCGTTCACTTGGTTTTAAAGCTTATATTTGTCTTATTAAAAAATTCGATTCTAAAATTAACAAACAACTGAACAAGAATTAAATATATATTGTGCTTTTTTAGGATACAGTTTTAATTAAATAAAATTGAATTGGTATGGGCGTCTGCAATGCGTGTGTATTTATATACTTGAATTTGTAATTAAGGCAGTTAAGTTTTATTTCAGTAACCTAAATTTAAATAAAAGCCATATAAACGTTTGTCATCTTTGTCGGAATACACGTCGTATACTAGGTAGGTTATTAAAAACCCTTATTTATGAACTTCATATTATAATCATTTGTCACCTAACCGCATTATGACTCTTTTCCATTATAATTAACAATGATTATACATAGGTATCTGGAAAAACCTAATACGTATTGTAAGATGTTTTCCGAATTATCCATAAACTGTTTTTGACATTTGTATATTGATACTTAAAATGACACTAAAATAGTATTGTTTCAACTTTTAAAATAATTAACAAAAATCTAATATGTAAAGTCCTAAATTTCGATGTGTCTGTTGCTATCGTATGTATATATTTTTATATAATATATTATATTTTGTCTAGGTAATTAGTGTGAAAATCAAACAAGCCATGACGGACGAGAGACATTTTGTATGGAAATATAATATCAGTGTGTACTGTGCAGCTATCTTCTATAATTATGTTGTACACATTATAGAATAATATTATGTTATCTATTTACCTATAGTTATTACTCTCCGTGCCCAGTTCCCAGACGTTTAATGTTCTAGACTAGTTCGTTCGAGTACAAATAATCATTGAACTCGTTTTTATTTTCTAAATGTTCTTTTAAAGAATTATTGCACATCATCTCATTAGCGACGAAAAAATAGGATATCCCGAGCTTCAATTTATACCTAATTATTAAACTATTCAACAATAGTTAATACAATTTAATACAGGTATTAAAAAACTTAAGTGCATACCCGATGATCAAAAAAATGTATACATTTTAAAATTCGAACAATATAACACTGGAACGGATTCATCTTTTGAAAGGGTTCAATCGATAGAAATTATAGTGAAGTTAGTATCATACTATTATAGTTTGTATAGAATAATCAAAAGTAGTGCAACTATTTACAAATCAATTGTAAATTACTTTCTAGTATTTGCAAGTCATGTACAGATGAGCTACAAATTATTTTCAAGCCAACTTCATGAAGCTTCCCTTCCCTCTCGCTCTGAGTAATTCACACTGAATCAACGTCAATGCTTAACAAATCGAATGTGAAAAAAATATTTTTGAGTTTGTCACAGTAATAACTGAATTCCAGGCCGTGTGGACAAAATCACAATAAACAAGCATTAATATTTGGCAAAAGGAAAATGTCGAAAAGTTAATTTTTTTAGGAATCAATTAAAAAACGATTTCACACCCACATAAATTCCCTCGAATAACTAGTTATGCAAAGAAATTAGTATGAGTTGAAGAGCAGAACAAAATTGAAAAATCTTGGCCTTGACTTACAAATTTGAACTGAAAATTCCAAAAAAAGATTTGTAATTATTTGAAATTGATTTGGTAAATATTGCTAATGGGTTCTAAATGAAACCGACAAAAAGCTGGACAGGGATGGCTACGTGAAATAAGTCCCCTCCTCCGAACGTAAGCATTGGTAATATTATTTGCTTCTAACAATTGATTTACCATATATTTACACTTAGACTTAAGATTTATTTTATTAAGGAGGCCTTTTGTAGACCAAGGTAATGCTACAGGATGATGAAACCACGATTATTTTAAATGTTTTGAATAAGGTATAACCCTTCCGGTTAATCTTATCTCTCGGAAACCGTTACGATTTCAACTAGGTATATATTATATTATGTATTATATTAAAAAATATATCATAATTTACAATGACCAAGATAGAAAGTAGGACTATGATATTATTTTCATAACATTATTTTGCGTGACATCTCTTTTTTTAAAAACGCAACAGTTACCTAGTGTCAAGATGAACTTTACAGGTTATACTCGAAACTAAATTTGTTACAAGACGCAGCTAGGTAGGTTAGCTTAACCTGAGCATGTATTATGTATCTATAATTACTACGTAGGCAGTTTATAACGATTAACGAGGTGTATGTTTTTAAAGTGCCCATAAAATACATCATGGTCTACAGTAATATTATATATTTTGTTAGATGGACGAAACTCGATGGTATTATTATTTTGTTTGTAATTATTACAACGAAGACAACAGACGATTGTCCTCGGGCGGTGTTCGAGTGACATCATTGCCACGATAAAACCGAGCTTTTAACGATTTGACGACTTTAATGCGTTTGGGATGTATAACTACATTGATTATTCATAAAAACGTGACACTATTATATTATGCATTAAAATTATTACTGTTAAGAGTGCTTTTTTAAAATTTCCATAAATTATTAATACTGTTTTCGGAATGTAGATACCTAATACTATACTATAATATTCTATTCAAATATTAAAACTTTTTTGCAAGGTTTTCTTTACAAGAAATGTGTAGAAACATCATAAAATTACTTATACGCAATATCTTATATTAACGTAAATATTAATTATTGCCCATTCATGTATGCTAATTAAATTCCAAGAAGTTCCCTTAAAATTTAGTATTAAAAATTTATATTATTTCATACATTTCTAGTACAAAATAAAAGTCGTGCATACAAAATATTAAAGTTTATAAAATTATATCTATTATACGTTTTTAGTGTATTTGTTTGATTAAAATATAGTTCAATAACTTTGTGCCATTTATGCATGTAAATAAGCAAAAATGTATGGGATGTGAATAAAATAAAAATATAAACTATGATAAATTAAAAGTATGTACAGTATTATTTAAGTATTACAATAATTTTACTTTCGTTACTTTATCATAGATTTGGATCGAAAATCTGATTTTTAAATGTTTTAACATTTACTTTTCGTCGACATCATAATCAAATGTAATATAAGTATAATATATTGAACTTTACTTTTACAATACTATTAAATGTCTATAGGTACCGACTTTTAACACATTAAGCGATACATTAGTATACCTACAACATTAAAATATTAATCCACTATTTCAACAGTATTAAACCTTACGGAATATATTCATAAAAATGTGCTTCAAAATTAAAAATCAGTACAATCGTGGTAACCAGATTAAGTGTATACCAATTTCGTCAGAGTTGTATCAAATGCGATTTTTGCGGATAATCCCGTAAAAACCATCATGTCGCTGAGAAAAAAACCTACTCTACGATACACATCTAATTTTTTTTAGCATGTTTTCAGTGTTGCGTTTGTTAACATATAGGTACGACAAGTGCATGGCATTATTATAATATCGATAAATGTAGTCCATCCAGATTTTGTGACCCGACCAACCGCACTTTTGCCCCCCCCCCCCAACAAATATTTTATCGATGCCAATAATCTGGTCCGACTTACTCTTCGATCGAATATACGTCTATCGTAGATCGTATTGTGATATATTACATACTCCACGTATTGGTAGTAAAAGTAAAAACCTGATTTAAGACTTGTCATACAAGACTATGATTTAAAAAAGGGTCAATGCCGCACATCTTTAGTTTGATTTATATCGCATTGAATCATAATAATATAATGTGAACTGACCAACGTAATACATTGTATCTGTCTGGGTTGGATCCATCTATTTATGGCTACTTATAACATTTGCTATTATTCGACGGAAAATCTGAAGTTCTATTACAATAGGTACCTGATATTAAGTTAAAAATATTGTTTTTCATTTATCTGTTCATCCATATTTTTAACCACAATTTAAATGAACTTTATAGTATAGTGTTTGTATCCGTCGGATTATCTAACAATACACACAGGCGTTAATTATAAAATAATGTTAAAAGGTGTTGCCGTGGAAAATTGAATAAACCGTATGAGTGGGATCTGTTTAGTTATTATTTTGTTCGAATCAGATTAAAAATATACTTTATAAATATAAGGTTATAATAATATATAAAAGCTTCACTGTGAATTTAGTACATAGTACAATTAATTTTTTTTCAATGTAGAAATAATAGAAGTAAATTTTTAGATTCTAGCCTTTCAAAAAAAAACAAAATATTAAATAATTTTTATACAAAACTAGTTTTTGACAAAAATCGTTTTTTTTTTTTTTTTTTTGTATTAACCCAACAAAAATAACCTTACTACCGTAGATACGTGAAAATGCACAAAATGTTTACCTATATGACCATTTTATATACATGTTAACATTTTTAAAATATTTCGCCTCTTTTCAAGTTATTTAATATTTATAGACATTTTAAATTTGATATTACATTTTTAACGCATCATTTAATAAGAATTGTCAAAGTAATTGTT